TTCAATTGTTGCTCGAATTTAGTGAAAGAGAAGTTCTGTTTGACGTGTTTGTGTCCATTAATGCCCATCTCTTTGGCCAGACTTTTATCCGAAACAAACCTTTTCATTGCATTCGCAAAATGCTTGGCATTCGGTTGACAGAGAAATCCGGTTTCATTGTCGATGACTGTCTCTCGAGGACCGCCACTGTTGACAGCAATCACAGGTCGGCTCATATACATGGCCTCCAGCGGAACGATACCGAAGTGTTCGTTGTCTGGAGTGTAGAGGAGAGCCGTACAGGAGTGCAACAGAAGCTGCTTCTTGTCATTGGACGGCGACTTAAGGAACGATACTTTGTCCTCCACTCCCAACTCAACCGCTTTATTGACCAGTTCTTCGTAATGCTGTTTGTTTTCTACATTTAACGGATCAAACCCTCCAACAATTATCAGATGAACAGTTTTCTTCAGCTGTGGATTAGTTGTATTCATGTCGTCGTAAAGCACTTTAATGGCTTCAATGGCGAGATCGATGTTCTTCTTGCGCTCGTATCGGTTAATCGATAGGAAAACAGTTGCGATGTCTTTGAGTTTGAGATCATTGAGCTCTCCCTCCAGTCGGCGATCGAAAGACGAGAAATTAATGGACGGATAAATCACTTTCAATGGTTTGTCTGAAAGGCGTCCAAACGTCGTGCGAAACATTTGTGCCGTAAATTTCGAGTTAACGACCACTACATCCGCCAAACCTGTTGTCCACTCTTCCAACCAATCGATTGGATATCGATATAACCTCTTGAGTATAGTCTTGCGTTGGGTCAGCAATTGGTCCGGAAAGTGACAGTAAAAGACAACTTTCTTTTTGGAAAGTCTTAACACAGGAATACAGGCGGATATGGAGTCACAGAATATGAGATCAAACTGAAGACCGGAGAAGAAGACCACATAAATGGCTGCAATAATCATCCGATAATAAGCCATCAAAGCGTAAAACCTGTTGAACAGCGATCGCGGCAACCAATCGGCCACTACTGTCACCTCAAGACTGCCATCGATTGTCTCTTCAAAGCAGTGACTCTTGTCGTGATGAGTGGTCACAATATGGACCTCATGTGACAATGACTTGAATGCCATCCCGGCGTCCACTATAAGCCGTTCGGCGCCACCGATGCCTAAGTCTGGATGAAGTATCAGTATCTTCATCGCCGATGACGACAGCGAGTGTCCAAACGGTGGTAAATATATGACCAAAAGTGTGTGTCTGGACTCAGTCTTGACTCAAAGTGTTTGGACTGACGTGTGATTTGTCTGTTTTGTTGTCATATCACAAATCATATGCCCTTTAAATGTTGCCTCAAATCACGTGTCTATCAATGCGTTCAACGCTTTTCAATGCTTTTCAATACAAATAATGCAAACATTTTCCACAAAACTCTCTGTTATTGTGAACTCTATTTCACTTTTACTGTCAATAAAAGGCGTTTTTGAATGAGTTTTTAGATTAAGTTTTGTTGACTGAAGACATGACAAGACATGAGGACATCCATCAAATGAACTGACAATTTGGTCATTGATTCACGCAATCCAATCAATCCAATGATACCATTGTTCACAGTTATTGGAAGCGATGAACAAGTTTTGTCACTTTAATTGACAAATACAAGAGTTGACAGTGTTTTGAGGCGTTTCGTTGGAAGTGTTTAAGTGATCGTCTGAATACATGTCGGACAAGGATTTCTCGCCGTTGAGTAATGCCTGCGTTCGGGCACTCAATGACAAACTCTATGATAAACGTAAAGCAGCCGCTCTTGAGATCGAAAAGTTTGTATCATTTATTCATTTCAATGATTAGTTGTGTTGTAATTGTCATGTCTTTTGACCCGAAGAATGGCCAGAGATTTCAATACAGTCGGGAATGTCATCCAAATCAAGAAATTGCTCAAAATATTGGGCGAAGACTTCTCGCTGTCTAATAATCCCAATTCGAGGAAAGGAGGTCTCATAGGGTTGGCTGCGATGGCCATCGCTTTGGGCAGAGAGTCGACGCCATATATCAGTGATTTGATTCGTCCGATGCTCTCGTGTTTCTCCGATCAGGACTCGAGGGTCCGGTACTACGCGTGCGAAGCCCTCTATAATGTGGTGAAAGTGAGCCGATCCGATGTCTTGCCCTTCTTTAACGAAGTGTTTGACTCGTTGTCCAAACTGGCGGCCGATCCCGACCAGAATGTCAAGAGTGGTGCAGAACTCTTGGATAAACTCATGAAAGATATTGTCACAGAAAATCCATCGTTTAATTTGATTGAATTAATTGATTTAATCAGAGATAGAATTCACGGAATAAATCAATTCTCGCGACAATTCATTGTGTCGTGGATTTCGACTCTGGATTCAGTTCCAGACATTGATGTCATTGTCTTTTTGCCTAAACTTCTCGATGGATTGCTTAAGATATTAGCGGATCCGACGCCTGAGATCCACCGAATGACTGAACAAGTTTTGGCTGAATTTCTATTTAAAATCATTCAAAACCCATCGAAAGCCGACTTTTCTTCGATGATTAATATCCTGACGATTCACTCGCAGGCAAATGACGACCCATTAGTTCAATACACGGCTCTCACATGGCTTAAGGAGTTCATCAATTTGGCCAACAGTCGAGATCTGTTGCCATTCTCTGCCAGTATCTTAACGGCAATCCTTCCGTGTCTGACGTCACCATCGGATCAAAGCGAAGAATCGGATGATAAGAATAAGAGCACAACAAATATAAACATCAGAGAAGTGGCCAAAGTGTTGAACTATAGTTTGATGCAATTGGTGACAATGCATGACAACCAACACGAAGAGATGAGTCCCACCAATTCGGCCAATTCTGCGCCCAACGAGTCAACAAATATGTCGGAATCCGTACAAAACTCTTTAGATATAACCAGTCTTCTGGAAGTGTTGGTCCGCGAACTCAAATCAGGTGAAAAGGCGTCCACTTTAAGCAAATTAGCGGTTCTTCGTTGGATTCATCACTTGTACTCCAAAGTCCCTCAAAAGGTTGTCAATCATTTAGAGTACGATCTCTTTCCTGTACTTCTGAAGACACTGTCAGACAAATCAGATGAAGTGGTTTTATTGGATCTTAAAATATTGGCGCAAATATTTAGTTCTGCGCCAAACGTCACACTGGGCTCCGACGGGCGGGCGTCCGGCCAACTGACCGCTGGACCGGAGACGCCGTCTTATTTCACAAAATTTATGGCAGATTTATTGAAATTGTTTCACAAAAACGCCACTGTTTTGGAAGAGAGGGGATCTTTTATAATACGTCAGCTCTGCCTTCTCATGACCGCAGAAGACATATACAGATCGCTGTCAGAGATATTACTCGATTACGAAGACTTGCGTTTTGCGTACACTATTGTGCAGACATTGAACACAATTCTGTTGACATCGAGTGAACTCTTCGATCTCAGGAATCAATTGAAAAACTTGAAGACAGATGAGAGCTGTTCCCTATTCTGTTGTCTATACAGAACGTGGTGTCACTCGCCGGTGGCCACAGTCTCGCTGTGTTTCTTAACCAAAAACTACAAACACGCCTGTGATCTGCTTATGCTCTTCGGTGACCTCAATCTGACCCTCGAATTCCTCACAGAAGTGGACCAAATGGTTCAACTGTTGGAATCACCCATATTTGCCTGTATTAGCGACTATTCATTTGAATTTCTCTTATAAATTATTATTAATTAAATTTAATATTGTTTTCAGATTTGAGACTCGAATTACTAGACGTTGAGAATAATTGTGATTTAATCAAAAGTTTGTACGGACTGCTCATGATATTGCCTCAAAGCGAAGCGTTTCATTTGTTACGCAAACGACTACAATGTTTGCCAAACTTAAGTCTCTATTCGTCGTCCGATTCAAAAAAGTATTACGAATTTTGCATTAATTATAGTTTTTAAGCATTTATTCTCTTGTCATGTCATGTCATTCCTCGTTATTATAATAATTCATTTTTACGATTAGAAATCGTGTCATCAAAAGCAGTCCAACGCAGCCTAATATGGACTTTAAAGAACTTCTTCGACATTTCCATTTGGTTCAACAGAAGCACCACAACTGGAGCCGAGCCACAGATACATGGAATCGAATTAATGATAGATCTTATAATATATGAAACAAAACTATTTCCTGTGAATATAAAGTTTCCTTATATATAGAGAGTGTTTATTGAAAATAATGACAATAAATATACACAACAACTATTTTATGATTGAAAACATAATTGTATTCATTGCTTGAAATTGAATTTACAAATAGCTTTACAATAAAACTTTTATTGATGATAACGTGGAGTCGGCTTCAGTTATGACCCACGCATTAATATCAATAATGAGACGCCTATCAGTTGCTGTCACTTAACTGATGTTCATCTCTACCCCACTATTTCCTACACCTCTTCCTTGACTTTGTTTAATCCAAAGAAATGCATTTGACATGAAGTCGATTAATGTGTGAGATTTTGTAACTCAAAACTCATTTATTGCTCATCTCTTATATAATAGTCAAGTATTATAAATGACTTCTCTATCAAATAAAGTGAAGCTCAGTTTTTCACTCATTTTAGGGGTCATTCACTCTACCATTCTCTCTCTCTCTCTTTCTTTCTTTCTTTCTTTCTTTCTCCCTCTCTCTCTCTCAAACCAATAAAAATAATTTTTATTTAAAACACACTACACTCTGAGTCTATGATTATAGTTAGGGTGAAATGAGTTACAAACTTATGAGAACTTTTCACACTTGCTTTACAACAATTCGTATTATTCATAACGTTATGATAATTAGATCATAAATTAGAGCCAACACTAGTTCGCTGTGCAAATGGTTATCTCATACCTTCATAATACTGTACTCTCTATAGTGTACACTGTATTGGATAACAGGATTGCATAGAAAATAGTTGTATATCTCATAAATTTGGATAAGATTTGAATTTTCAATTTACTATTCAATTGGGAGACAGAGAATTAAGTTAGACATTGAATTGTTGGCCAATTTTGCAATGCACTGGTCTGTGGAGTGGGTACTACTGATGGGCACATGTATTGCATTCTTGATTTTACAATGAGTTATATTTATCCGATGAGTGCTTTTGTCGACAATAAGGAACTCATGGATTGTTATTCTAGTCTATCATTGGAGCCATAATTTGAGTTTTTATATTCAAATCAAACTTATATTCAGTTCTGCATGTGTTTTGAAATGTGATGTCAGGACAGACTCAACATCTGAGTCCAACTCTTGCATAGGTTGTAATGGTTGAAGAGGTTGTGGAGGTAGGCGTCCAAATGGGTTTGCAATTTACTCAATACAGTATAACATGTAATACTTGTGCTTATAGTAAAAAAAAAGTCGACTAATAGTCTGGATATAGCGGTGGAGTCGAGCAGAAAGGCATCTCTCAATGTCTCTCTCAGATCTGTGAGCCTTTAGTGCCGTTGCTCTCAGTCTGAGCCCAATCTCCACATTAAACACTGTGTTTAACATTTGGTTTCAAATCAGCTTTTTTTCGTGTGTAGTGTTTGGGTTGCGTTTGGTGTGAATGCTATCCAATGCTAACCAATGCTATCGACACTCACAGTGTGTGGACTGTACTGTAGTATTGACTGCAAGCCTAACCTAACCTAACATTACATCCAAAATATCGATTCATTTCATTGTTTTGTTTCGTCTTTGGCTTTAAATGTGTCTTCAATTGAAACCACTCTTCAATCCATTGGTGGTAACATTGATTGTCAGCCATTGTCAGTGTCTTTGAGTGCTTGTGTCGGCACTTGTGTCCCATTGCCAGTGATTGTGAAGCCATTGATGGCATCGATGTCTTGTGTGAACACATCTTACACTGTATTCAATGCGATAAATGTGTGGAAAGCTATGCATCGATGACTTCCAGCACATCCCTTGTCTTCACCGGAAGTCTATTGTCATTGTCTTTGTATTTCTTTGTCTGAAGAGCTCTCAAATTGTCATTAAATGCAAATCGTTTTGTTATTAAACACAACGAAAAACAATTATTTGAATAATAATTAATTATTTGATTAATTGATCGTCTTTTGGATCAAATGGAGCCACAGTTTGTGGTCGAAAGGGATTGCAATGCTTTGGGAGGACTTTTCCAGATTATCATCAATGATCTTAAGGTATGCCATCCTCTTCTTCACCTACTAATTGATCCATTCATTAGCATAGAGTTGATGCCAAACACGTTATCATTAATTTATTATTATTATTAGATTTACAGATAATATAAGACTTGTTATAATTTAGCGAAAATATTGTGCATTTAATGAGTATTTAATAGCTTTTGGCAAACATTGAGTTGACTATAAGATCGGGGATTAAAATAATAAACAAATGATAGGTTTGGTGCGGAAGGAAGGGCTTCTTCATCCATCTGTTCCCTTATTTTGTGACATATGTTAGCGATAGATGTGATAAAAGTGATGGACAAGTGTTATAGTAATTGAAATACTGATGAATATTGTTTATTTGTATGACAGTCGGGAACCGGCAATTGGGACGACTTCGTGGTAAAAGCGGGCAAATTTCATACACAACTCAAGTAAGCGATCCATTGGTTTGGCATTTGATTTACTAATGAAACCGAGAATTGATTAACAAATGAATTGTAATTTAATGGATGACTAGTAATGAGAAATTCTGTGTTGCGTTCAAATTGTTAACCATTTGAAGCGAAACCAAATGATAATGTTTGGGAAAAACTATAATAATTTCTATCAAATTTTGTCTAATTGTTTTGCGAAATGATATGATGTGTTTGTTTGTATGTCTTGTAGAGCGACGATATCTGCTTCGACAGCATTTCTCGATGCCTTCCAGAAGATCGCAGATATGGCCACCAGTACTAGAGGTATGTCCTATTGCTTACCTCAACCTCTATTCCACACATAACTAGTGTTGTTATAATCCAGTTATTGGACTCATCTCCTCATTGTGTTACTAAAAGCGATCTCTTATTATAATTAACCCGTTTTTCAAAAGCCCTTGTATTGAGAGGCGTATCACGTCTTCACAAAGTTTAACGACTTTTGTGTTTCTTATTTAGATTTCTGTAATTTATAACTTATTATTCAATCACTTCTTATATATTTTTAAACATATATGCGTTTATAACTCATGTTATAACTAATGACAGCACAAAATACTCATTTGTATTGCATTTTATACGCTTTAGTTTAGGTCTAAATGTTTACATATTATTGTGCTTAAAATAAGACTTGAATTTATATTAATATTAATAACTTATAGTGTTTATAACAAATGCACAACTTTTGCTGTAGATTTTGAAATTATTTCAATTACTGTGAAATTGATTTTTTTGTTAGCATTTCTATTCAATTTATACTTTGGACTAAAAAAATTAATTTATATGTAATTCTTATGAATGAATGAATGATTATATTATAGTAGTATTGGCCCACACTTTACGTTGCTTTGCATTAGTTTGTAGTAATTTGTCTAAAAGAAAGACTTCTATTAAAAGCGTGTATCTATTGCTCTATTTATGACATAATATATTATATAAATGGGTTTTGGGTGAGAGAGAGAGAGGAGAGAGAGAGAGAGAGAGAGAGAGAGAGAGAGGGCGTATGACTTGCCCTTTAATTAACATTAGTTTGAAATAATGTATTTTTTGTATAATATTAGCCCCTAATGGTTAGTATTTGCCAAATAATTGAGTTCCTCTTTGGAATTGAACTTATTTTTAATTGAACTCAAAATTTGTAAATTACAAGAGTTTCAAAGTAATGCATTTGTTATCTATTATATGGTATACAATCGGAATCAATGGCAATCTAAACGAGGTTATTATGTACGAGGGTATTTAGCTATTCGTGTTCCCACTATTACCATTAGATAATTGTTAAGTGTTGAGTATATTGTTTATAATAACTTAAGAAAATGAATTTTGCGGTTAAGAAACCTAACATTAAATGCATTTTTTCTAAATGAAAGGCATAACAAACATTGGGTTTACTTTCTTATTCCCAACAATTAATATTCAGTCGACTGTAAACGACTCACAGGCACTGTATTTGTGTTCATTTAGCATAAAATGAATGACAAATTGGTTTAAAATTTAAATTTAAGTGCATTGAAGTAAATGATGGGTTTATTACTGGTGTAGACAAACACTTTGAATGCCCGCAATGTGTCTAATGAACTAATTCACACATTTTGATAAATAGGCGGCACTAAAGAGATCGGAACCGCTTTGACGCGTATATGTCTTCGCCACCGATCAGTGGAGGCGCGGCTTAAGACATTCACGAGCTCTATAATGGATTGTCTTATTTTGCCGCTTCAGGACAGGATTGAAGAGTGGAAGAAAACATGCGGACAGTTAGACAAAGAGCACTCAAAAGAGTACAAACGATTGCGACAAGAATTGAAGAAAAAGCAATCACTAGACCCGTCGCACGCCTTATACGCCTCCACTTCTAATACATTGCGATTTAAAAAACATGTCAGAAATAAGATGAAAATCGATTCAAACAATTGGAATAGTCTTAACTCAATGTCCAGATCTATGGACTCAATGGAAGCCAACGAAAGACTCTTTATATTCGAAGAGATGGAGAAAAAGGCTGTTCGACGGGCTCTCATCGAAGAGAGGAGTCATTTCTGTTTGTTTGTCAACTTTTTGCGTCCAGTGGTTGAGGAAGAGTTAGCGATGCTTCAGGAGGTGACACACCTTCAGGAGATTATGGACGCTCTCAGCAAACTGACCGCCGATCCATACTCTCTGCCCACTGCCAGTGAATTAGTCATTTCGGACTTAAGACTTAGTACGTCCGATACGGTGGCCTTCTCTTTGCAAACCCCGCCGAGCAGTCCGTCATCTTTCGGTTCCCGGAAATCAAGTATGTGTTCGATCAGCAGTTTTAACAGCTCTTCCAGTGGCAGCACTCACTCGCCTTCACATAACTGCCGATACCGTTCCCTCTCTCAGGTATTGTTTCGTTTGTTATCTTATGTTTCATATTATTAAATAAATCAAATAACATAACAATAGTTGCATTAAAACGTGATTTAATATAAAACTTAATATCTGACACAATTTGCGCTAATCTTTTCATTCAATTATTGCTGACATTAAATCTGGTTTATTTCGAAACTCAATGAATACAATATAATTGAATTCGTGATTGAATCACAAAATAACATCTAATTTTAGGTTTATGTTTAAGACTTTTTTATTAACATTGTTTGTCTTTTTTCATTCAATTTTTTCGTTTTATTTTCCTATTTATTGCCTTAAAATATGTTTCATTCGCTTCAATGATTGCCGTTTCAGTAGTTTTATTACTTTTATTTTATATTATTTATCATTTATTTGATTTTGAATTTAATTTTTGTTTGAATGTATGTTTTGGTTGTGTTTTTGATTACAAAAACTGAAGCCGAGTGTAGGACCGGGTCCTGTGTTTCGTCACACGAGTATTTCTTCACAAGATTCTGGTTTTATGTCTCAGGACTATAATGTCGTACATTACGCACATTTACCCCCAGTTTATACCACTTCTAAATATGTCAATCAATTTAGGAATAATGAGGTTTGAAATCACATGAAAAGAATTCATTGGTTTACAATGAAAACTAAAGAGTACTTTGAAATATCGATATCACTGATAAAATGCAACAAACTTTTCATTAAAAAATAGGTTTCGAGTCTCTCCGAACACAGCAGTGGCAGTACTTCGAGCACATCAAGCATTCCGGCCTCTAATAAACGTAATGATACTAATCTTAGATCCCATAGTATTAGCACTTTTGATAAAAACCAAAACCTTTCTAAATCTCACGACTCGTATTCACTTAATATTATTAATACTTGCGAAGAGAATTTGGTTTCCATTAACACACAAAACAATCACAACTCATCCACTATTGTATTGCAAACGCCAAACAATCGCAACATCACTGATAAGCCAGACCTGCCGTCTCGCGCACTCATACCCGACAAGCCTTCAATACCCACCAAACCATATACTCTTAACAATGACACAAATCAACGCCAAACAGCAGCCACTGATTTATCTCTATATTCTGAATCGCATCCCATTTATGCCAACTCTATGGAACTGATGGGTGACGAGTCGAGCGTCGCCTGTTCTGAGGGCTCTATCACACCGACAAATGCCGAGCGATCTAACAGTCCCTCTAATGAGCTCTTGAATCAGTGCAAGAATTCATCATTAAGTGCGTCCACACTAACGATAGGCCGCTTATCAAAGCCGCCGCCACCGCCTCCCGTGCGCCGCACGTCAACCATTTCCAATCCAAACGCCATTACTTTAGGCACTTTGAAAACGGCCGGATGTAATACATACGAAGAAATACAAAATCTGAGCAAAACATACTCTACTTATCAGGACATAAACAGTCTAACACTTTCTCTACAAAATCTCAGTTCAATCGAAACCTCGAATCAACCCATTTATAGCCGCCCTTCAGATGTTATTTATTCCAACACTTCTCACATGACATCTAATTCTCATTTAAGTCAAAACAAGGCCACTGAATATCATTCGGCTAAAAGTCTTTTCGAGAGCACATCTGCGCGTGAAGTACAACAACAACAATATCAACAACATATGCAACCCATTTATACGACTGAAGAGCAATCAACTTCACTGCCACTTCCGGCGCCACCGCCAGAAGCATTCTCAGACACTGAGTCGACCAATCATAGCCATCATTACAATAAGATAACTAACGTTCACAGACAGTTCCTCGAGACACTAAACACCAAATTAGGACAATTCAAACCCGAATCTCACATCAGTCCACGTCTGGCCAAACGCCGCANGCAACAAACTTTTCATTAAAAAATAGGTTTCGAGTCTCTCCGAACACAGCAGTGGTAGTACTTCGAGCACATCAAGCATTCCGGCCTCTAATAAACGTAATGATACTAATCTTAGATCCCATAGTATTAGCACTTTTGATAAAAACCAAAACCTTTCTAAATCTCACGACTCGTATTCACTTAATATTATTAATACTTGCGAAGAGAATTTGGTTTCCATTAACACACAAAACAATCACAACTCATCCACTATTGTATTGCAAACGCCAAACAATCGCAACATCACTGATAAGCCAGACCTGCCGTCTCGCGCACTCATACCCGACAAGCCTTCAATACCCACCAAACCATATACTCTTAACAATGACACAAATCAACGCCAAACAGCAGCCACTGATTTATCTCTTTATTCTGAATCGCATCCCATTTATGCCAACTCTATGGAACTGATGGGTGACGAGTCGAGCGTCGCCTGTTCTGAGGGCTCTATCACACCGACAAATGCAGAGCGATCTAACAGTCCCTCTAATGAGCTCTTGAATCAGTGCAAGAATTCGTCATTAAGTGCGTCCACACTAACGATAGGCCGCTTATCAAAGCCGCCGCCACCGCCTCCCGTTCGCCGCACGTCAACCATTTCCAATCCAAACGCCATTACTTTAGGCACTTTGAAAACGGCGGGATGTAATACATACGAAGAAATACAAAATCTGAGCAAAACCTACTCTACTTATCAGGACATAAACAGTCTAACACTTTCTCTACAAAATCTGAGTTCAATCGAAACCTCGAATCAACCCATTTATAGCCGCCCTTCAGATGTTATTTATTCCAACACTTCTCACATGACATCTAATTCTCATATAAGTCAAAACAAGGCCACTGAATATCATTCGGCTAAAAGTCTTTTCGAGAGCACATCTGCGCGTGAAGTACAACAACAACAATATCAACAACATATGCAACCCATTTATACGACTGAAGAGCAATCTTAAGTCAAAACAAGGCCACTGAATATCATTCGGCTAAAAGTCTTTTCGAGAGCACATCTGCGCGTGAAGTACAACAACAACAATATCAACAACATATGCAACCCATTTATACGACTGAAGAGCAATCAACTTCACTGCCACTTCCGGCGCCACCGCCAGAAGCCTTCTCAGACACTGAGTCGACCAATCATAGCCATCATTACAATAAGATAACTAACGTTCACAGACAGTTCCTCGAGACACTAAACACCAAATTAGGACAATTCAAACCCGAATCTCACATCAGTCCACGTCTGGCCAAACGCCGCAGCGTTTCTCTCAGCAGCAGAGATGATGAGTGGAACTCAGACAGCGCTGTCAGTAGTCGTCCCGCATCTCACACCCAATCCATCCAACAAACACTTATGTCGTTCATGACTGGCAATCATTCGCGTTCGTCGTCCACTTCGTCCAACTCTTCGTCGAGACATCGAAGACAATCGCCAGAAGCGGTTCGAAAGAAAGCTGCCTTTACTCTGGCTTCTTGTGATAGGGAGAGCCTTATGGCGAGTCTTAACCATAGATTAGCGCAAAGACAGCAGAACGAGATCGCGAAGGCGGCCGCCGCTAACGCTATGCAACGCAAACAATCGGTTCCCGACGTAAACTGTTCCCATTACCAGAATCTCTTTCAATCTCATCAAAGTCTCACGTCATCCGCACTTAATTTAGCCAATAATCCACAATCGGCTGTTCAGTACCAGTCAATCGGTCAGCCCGTCTCACAACAACCCCCACAACAGCAACAGATTTATGGACCCGTTTTGCATCAGCAACAGCTTCAACGACGCAGTTCACAGCCAACGATGGGAATCAAGATTATGAACTCCACCTCAAGACAACCCACTTATGACAGTGTCAGTGATAGACAAACAATGCGACCAATGATGACCAATAGAGCCAGTGGTGACACTACTGATCGGCAATCAAGTCAACAGTCAATGGTTCAGTCATTTTCAAATGATTATTACAACCGACAGACCAGAAATCCGATGCCTTCTTCCGATTCAAACAATACATCGGTTTATAATTCATTGCAAACGAATGAGACGTCAAAACTGGCGACTCGATTGCCGCCTAATCCGGAATCGTTTGAGAATGCGATCGCCGCCCGAGTCAACAGTTGGTTCAATTCGGTTCAATTGCCACACGACGTGAAGTTATGTCGCGAATCACTTATGGATCAGATAAGACGCGGCAAACCATTGCGCAAAGTGGCCGCTGCTAACGATAGGTCGGCTCCAAAACTGGCCTGAATTTCATTCATTTCTTAATTATCTCGTTTCAGGATTTAATATTCAAATGCAAGCCATTGATCAGTAGTACGAAAACTATTCAAAACACTTGACATATCTTCTCTCATATCTATGATAATAGTATCAAAACTATAAATCATTTGAATATTTGCCTTCTATTTAGCATTTCATTGCTATTTCAACTAAAACTCTATAAAATTAATTTTATTTTTCTTAAACTTTGTTTTGCTTTTCTAATACATAAAAAATGTTTTAAAAGCTATGCTTTTTAGTGATTTTAATTTTTGTTTTTATTATAGAAAATTTTGATACAGAATTTAGCATATAATTGATGTATAATTAATTAACAAGTAATTATTTTATTACTATTCAAAGCACCAAAAAATTGATAATTTTTTTTATTAAATACTTTATTAATTTAAAGTATTAATAAGAGATATAGTAATAATTATAACTGAATTTGATTCATAAGAATTCTGTCAATTGAATTACAATATTGTTTGAGTCATTAATTTATAGATTTCTTTGTGATTATTTAGATTCTAATAACAATTTAACAGTAATTGTATTTAAAGAATAGTTATTATTTCACATAAATAACAATACAATTGAATAGAAACTCATTCCTAATATTGTGTGGAAGAAAATGTACGGCAATAACAAATTTAGTGCACAATTTAATGAATGCTATTTTCAAAACACTTAAGTAAATTATTTTATTTTTTAGTGATTATAACAAAATTGATTAATAATTTTGTTCCCATTTTTATCTGTTTTTTCTTTAGTTTTGTTTATGAAAAATGTTTGACTCATTTAAATGTAAATTTATTTAAATATACTTTGATTTATAAATTGATTTTTAAATGCAAAAAAGATGATGAGTGAGAGAAAGGAGAGCGTGTGAACTGAATGGTCCTAACAGTCCTTTCTAGTCATTTCTGAACACATTTATATCAATCAATAAAAAATAATACTGTATTTCTCGAGCTTTAAGTTCACCATTCAATACAAGTCTTATGTAATACCAAAGCGATTAAAAATATATAATTATTAATTAATTAAATTACTTTAACATTAGATCCACTATTTTATTGTAATATTTCTCTCTCTTTCTCGGAATAATTATAAAAACATGTGTATAATTGGATTTTGCGTGACATTTGTATTAATAAAAAAGCTATTTATTAACATTTTATTAATTATTTTGTTTCAAACAATCATTTATAACGTTAAGAGAGCTTTAATAACGCCAAGTATTAATTAAGTGTTCAAATTGTAAACGATTTCATGTCAACGTATTCACCAAAATCTGATAAATTATTGTTACAATTAATTGATGGTTCCCTCAAAAGGGCTCTCATTTCGCAATAATTGTTATCAGATCCATGTCTTGACACGATTGGCAACTGATTCAACGATTTCACCGAAAATCTTGGTGTATTGAGTAATGATGTGTTCGTTTGTCTGACTATTTGACTAAACATATCGCGGCAATCGGTGTGTCTTTCCTCCCGACCCCTTCCCATACAATCGTAGAGTTTATAATTAGTTCGCGAATCATGTGAACTAAATCTACTGTTCGTATGAGAGTTAGATTTCAATGCATTTTCACTATTCATATAGAGATCGGAATAATTAATGTTTCCATTAATATCTTGGTTCGCGATTTCTTCATATATTTTATCAATTTCTTCATAAATTTCTGAATCAATTGTATCGTAAACTTGATCCGAATCAGCGGTAATTGTGGTTTCAAAAGGAATGTTATAAATATTTTCGGTAATCAATTCATCGATTGATACTTTCCAGTCGATTGTAGACGAAGTGATGGAACAGTTAAGCATTGTTTCTGGAATTTCTTCGGCACTTCTTATGCGAAACGTATTGACATTTGTATTGAATTCCTGTCTATTATATTCATTTGATTTGTGAAAATTTCGGTCAATTTTGTTTCGGAAGTGTTTAGTATTTTTTGTTGAAAAACTTGTATTATTTAGTGGTAAGCCTTCAGGTTCTGCAACACATTTGGCATTCAT